AAGAAGAAGAAGAAGAAGAAGAAGAAGAAGAAGAAGAAGAAGAAGAAATAGAAGAAGAAAAAGAAGAAGAAAATGTAATGTAGCCAGTCTTCTGTCTGAGGGTACATGCAAATTCAACCAGTTCTGGATTAAAAAAAAAAAATTGAAAAAAAAATCACATCTGTATTGAACCTGCATAGACATTTTTCTTCTTTATTCCCTGACAGTCTCCCAGCTATTCACATAGCTTTTATATCATATTAAACATTATAAGTAATCTACAGATGGTTAAGGTACGTAGGAGGATTGTGGGTTGTGTGCAAGCACTACACCATTTTATATAAGGGAGTTGGATGTCCATGGAGTTGAATATTCATGTGGAGAGAGGACAGCCTGGAAAACAGTCTCCCATGAAAACTGAGGGACTGTATATAAGGTCATAATAATTGTAACTTTGGTTATCCAATGGAAGACTTAGAACAGTGGGAGGGGACTACTCTAACGAAAATGAGTGTGGTCATTAAGTACTTATGGGAGGCTCTGTATTGGGAGGCTGGTGAGGAAGGCAGTCTCATCACCATCAACAAGTGAAGATGTGCCAGGGATGCTCCCAGGCAGCAGAACCGAAGGCGGCCTTATTTGCTTCGCACGGCACTAATGATGGGGCTAAGATATGGCTGCAGGCAGGAGGTAGAGAACTGCCTCCCGATACCTACAGTCCAAGTCCACATGGCCACTGGTGACGGGTAAAGTATGCCTGCAGGCAGGAGGTAGAGAAGCGTCACTTTGGCGGGTGGATGAAATGACCAGGGCGGAGACAGCACTTGGTGGCTCTCAGCGCTGAGAGTGTTCAGTCTTTCCGCCGAGATGTGGAACTACCCATTGATTTCCCGGTGAAACCTATCTGTACAGCATCTCTGTTGAATTGCAGTCTCCTCTCTTTCCAGACAAGCTTCCTCAACAAACAAAACTGCAGTGGGTTTCTCTGCAGATTGCTGGAGAAACATGCTTAACCCAGAATGGCCTATCGGCTCTAGCCACAATGAACCACTAGGTTGTGGATGAACCACATCCCCTCTCTGCTTTAGCCTCTGATTAGAGATTGCTATACAGACGGCAGCTAGACCATACATCAAAGCAAAACTCTGACCTGCAGTCTGCAGCAGTCACCCCAGGAAACCAGCTCGGCATCTTCAGCCTGAGGAGTCAGCCTACCGGTAACTTCCAGTCAGATTTCCTGCTGTTTGGGTAGCTCATGCTCTCCAGCAACAAACTCAGGAGGCAATAACCCTTGTAAGCAATTGGCTCCAAATGACCAATTTATTAATAACTGACCCAGAAATCCTAATACGTAATCCCCAATCAACCCCACAGGATGCCCGGTTCAGGCCTAGATCCCTACAGCCTCCCCAGGCCAACTACCTCAAACCAGAGCACAGCTGATGGTGTCCATCTTGTCCACAACAAACCTTCCCACACCTCCGCCCACTCCGGAGTCTCTGCTAAGACACGGGAGACGGGAGCAACCTCTAAAAGGACAACCTCTCCCTGTCTTCGCCTGGTAGCTTGTTTTTGTGGCTGTTGGAAATATTTCTATAGAGCTCTATCAACGTGGAAGCAGTAGTATTGTATAGGTGGTTCTGGATTTGTTTCCACACACTGGATTCACCACGTCTCAGGGCAGCAGACGAATCTGCTGCCATCTTCCCTTTCATAGCCCAGAGGAGCCTGTGTGGTTCAGCACCTGGAATGGGTGTATATGATCAGGCAGGCCAAAGGGATGGCCCATGCTCTGGATGCTGGGAAGCCTGGATTCACTTTCCCTCTGGTGAGAGACCGGCTCCTTTTCAGAACGCACAACACCCCCGACCTAGGAATGAAGGCCAGAGATTCGTGACTCAAACAGTAGAAAGGACCCGCTCTATCCCTCATTTCCACCATGACTTTGTGGCAGTCCAAATTCTCTGTTTCCAGAGTCAGGCCTTTCCTGCCTAATTTGCTCTCACTTACGTGTGTCCTCCTCCATGTAGATGGACAAGACTTTCATTTCCTTGCGGGAACCTTCTGTTCCTAGAGGAACAGACTGTGTTTTTCCTCAGGTTCTAAATATTCCCTGCTCCACCCATCTTAGCACACCCCACCCAATAATATGTTGTCAGCATAGTATTTGAATCCAAAAGTAAGAGAGGAGACAGCGTTCAAATAAAAAATTAAGATGTAAAAACAAACAAAACCAAATTCCATTTTGTTTGTTTGTTTGTTGCGTAACTGGACCTCTCCTGGGAATTCCTCTTTGCTCAGCAGATAGGACTTCCCTCGCGGCAGGCGGCACAGCAAAGGGCAAAGGCGTGGTGAGCCACGGCCACTCCCTGTTTCGCTGGAAGGCCAGGAGAACACAGGTGACACACTCACCTCGGCTCTCATGAGAGGAGTGAGTCAACCCTTAACGGGAAGGGGAAGATGCAACGCTCAGAGGAAGATGCAATGCTCAGAGGCCAGGAGGCATGAGTCAGGGGAGCCTGGTGCCACTCAGAGTGTGTTCTCTGTCTTAGTAACCGAGCACAAGGAATGTGCTGATCAGTTCAGAGAGCAGCCTGTTTCAGAGAGGGAAAGTGGCTTGTCAAAGGTTGCACAGTAAGCTGTGGCGGAGGTGGGGCCACAGTTATAAAGTTCTGGTGCTTCCAGTAAACGTAACCTCAATTCATTCAAGAATGAACTATACGCCATTGAGATTAGAAACACAGGCTCTCTGCTTCTGCGGAGGACTTCTTATCTAGGTCGGGCTGGCCAATGAAAGCCACCACAAGCTGCTAGTATAAGGAGTCTTGGTGAGAAGACAGAACATACAACACAGATACAGAACCCAACTGTATTTCTACATCTCAACAGCACACTAATGGAACCTGAAGTTAAATAAAAATTGCTAATTATTATTGTACCAAGACTTGAAATACTTGAAGATAACTTCAGAAAGAGCAGGGCTGGAGCGACGGCTCAGTGGTTAAGAATACATACTGTTCTTGAACCTAGCAGGGTACTAGGTTCCGTTCCCAGACTCTTGAGTTGGGTGGGTGGCTCACAACTGCCTGACTCTAGCATCAGGGCGTCTCTTTGGGCACTGCACTCAGGGTTGTTCAAATTCACACACACACACACACACACACACACACACACACACACACACACTTAAATTAAATTAAAATAGTGGGGCTAGAGATAAATCTCAGTGGTTTAGAACTCTTACTACTCTTGTAGAGGAACTGGGAACAGTTCCTAGCACCCACATGGGGGCTCACAGTCACCTGTAACCCCAGTTTCAAGGGACCTGGTGCCTTCTGACCTCCATGTGGTATGCATAGACTCACAGAGGCAAACACATATGCCCATAAAATAAATAAATCTTTTAAAAACTTTTAAGTTTGAAGGATCTATTTTTCATCTTTCTACGTGTGGTTCACATGTATGTGAGTGTGCATGCCTGCACATGTGAGGGCTCATACATGTGGGGTTGTGTGTGTATGCATGTGTGTGGAAACCCCAGGCTGATGTTGGGGATCTTCCTTGCTAGCTCTTCCACCTTGTTCTTTGAGGCAGGGTCTCTCAGTGACGCTGGAACTTGCTGGTACGGTGGCTTGTCTTGTGAGCCAGCTTCCTCTGGCGATCCTGTATCCACCTTCCCAGACTGAAATTAGAGATGGAAAGCCACATCCACCAGGCACTTTGTAGGCTCTGGGGATCGGAATTCCAGTCCTCAAGCTTTCATGGCAGACTCTTCGGCTGCTGACCTCTCTTTCAAGACCTGAGAGTTGTGCTGAAAGCTGTGAACAATTACAGAGAAGATTGAGATGCAGAGCAGCGGTGGGGAGCTCTGCCACGTACATGAGCGAGAAGACACCACAGCGGTAAGATGCCAGAACGGCCCAGAGTGACCTATACAGTGCTCTACAATGACAGTAAAAGTCCGGCAAGTCTCCTTTAGATAGAATGAATAAAGTAGCCAGGCAGTGGTGGCGCAAGCCTTTAATCCCAGCACTTGGGAGGCAGAGGAAGGCAGATCTCTGTGAGCCTGAGGCCAGCCTGGTCTACAGAGCGAGTTCTAGGACAGCCTGGGCTCTTACACAGAGAAAACTTGCCTGGAAAACAAACAACCAAGACCAAGAAACAAACAACAACAAAACACCATGAAACAGACCAGATCATAATTGTATGAAATATTAGGATTTGAGAAATAAGAAAATGAAAGGATTAATGCTATCTGACCTCAAACTTTTGCAAAATGCTAACAAGCGAGACAATGTAAAATTAGTATGAGGCTAGATGGACAGAGCACAGGACAGATGAGAAAGTCAGGGAGAGGCCTGTACGTGGAGAGACAACTCATTTCCAGAAACTATGTGGAGGCATACAACAGCCGTCTCAAGAAATGATGCTGCAATAACGGCAGCCAGGTCTTTAATCCCAGCATCTGAAGCAAGAGGTTAGCCAGCGCAACCCACCTGAGTCAGAGCAGGAGACCCTGCTGAAAAAGAAAACAAAAGATGGATGATTGACAGATAGGTTGTCTGTCCAAGTGTTAGAGGGATGTGGAAGAGCAGAGATGACCCTATTCTGCTACGAGGGCTGGGAAGGGGACAACTGAATAACCGAATATCCATACAGAAAGAACGCCCATTTACACTCCATTCTTTAAAACTTCGTCACAATGGGCTATAGTTCTAAGTATACATCCTACGACTGTGACACTTGGATATCTTGGAAACCTTTGTGGACTTTGAGTTGCTTAGATGTGCTCAGACATGACACTGAAATCACAGGCCATGAAAAAACACGTCTGTAATCTGGACTTCATCAAAGGTTTTTGTTGTTGTTTTGTTTTGCTTTTTGGTTTTGTTTTTGTTTTTGGCTGCTCATTAAGAGTCATCTTAAAAAAATGAAAAGAAAATTCATTGTACAGAGAATATATTTGGAAGCCCTCTATCTGAAAGAACTTATGTCCTCTTTGAACGCTTTCTATCTGAAGAAACTTACATCCTAGAAGTACAGAACAGTCGGAATTTGACGATAAGAAAACAGAGCAATAAAAATTAGGCAAAAGATTTGAACAAAACCCAAGCTAGATAAAGAGGTGCCAGAAAGGCATTCAAAGAGGCACTCACCATTGCTCCCATTTGTGTAAACGCGAACTTAACGGTGAGACAGATGATACAGCACTGCCATTAAAACAGAATTAAGACTGTCTACACTGGGTACAGTGGCATTGGCCTGCAGTCCCAGTCTTTGAAGGCTGAGGTGAGAGGGTAGCCAGTTCAAACTGGCATGAGCTACAGTGTGGGACTCTGTTTAAGGAAGGAGGGAAGGAAGGAAAGGAAGGAAGGAAGGGGAGGGAGAAAAAGAAAGAAGGAAAGAAAAAGCCTATCCCAAGTGTTGAGCGTGTGCGGTGTGGAAGAACAGAAATAATCCTACGCTGTAGTGGGGGATATGAAGCGGATGACATCGGCTTCAAAAAGTAGGTTGACGTTCTCTATACAGTAGGTAATGGCCATGTTTTCAGTCTTGAATGTATATTAAGTTGTTAAGTCTGTAGCAAGCAAAAGTAAAAGTATAATTAACAAATAGCAGACAGAAGGAAGCAAAAGACAACCAAACACCATCCAATTCATGGCTTATAACATTCAGTAGAGGAACTGGAGTAGCCCAAGTGAGAGAGCCGGCGGAAAGCAATGGGAGCTTCCGAACACCCAGCGGAACGGGGGGGGCGGGGGATTCTGAGAGCTCCTGTGAAGACAGCCTAGGTAGGGGCCTCCCTGGCCTCCTTCCTGTTTCCATCGCTGCTCCCCGCCTCCCACAGTGGGCATTTTATATCTGGGACAAACCTTAGTAACCCCTGCTGGCAGTGCTTTACTTTTTAGCTGTTCTCAGGGACACAGCGTTTACACCCTAGGGCTGTTTTGTTCTTCCCTCTTCTTGTCAACAGGCGGAGGTGGCCAGCCTGACCCAGGACTTCACTAGAGATAAAGATGCTGGAGTCTGTGACTAGGGGGTCCTGCTCACTCCTGTAGTCTGCTTTCAACAGGCTTCAACAGCACGCGATAAGTTACCAGTAGAGGGTACGTTCCAGGCACTTTCTTAAAAGCCAAGCAAGCCTCTTCCTCATGCCTGATCACCCACTTTCTAGGTATTTATCCAAGAGAAAACAAAGTGCATGTCTGTGCACAGACTTGCACCTGATTGCTTATTTGAGCTTCATTTTAGATCACTAATTATCAGCAACAACCTACATGCGCACCCATAAAGGAATGGCTAAGCTGTGGGGTATGTGTGACCCCCACATATGTGTGGGGTATCTTGACCCTCGTGAAGGTTCTGTAGGCTCCACCTATGTCAAATCTTATCGTATTTTATGCCTTAAATATATGTGGTGTATTTCATGCCAATCATAGCCCAGTAAAACTACTGGAAACAATTCAAAGCAACAGTCTGAAGGTACTAGGGTGGTAACAAGCAGGCATAGCTTCAGGGCCAGGATTCGGAGGAGGGAAAGCCAGAGAGCCTCGCCTCGCACTGGGGACCACCCTTCCCATAGGAATGTAGTTTAAATTCACAAAAGTGCATACAGTTTTAGGAGACGGAGAAGCTACATAGACCTTTCTAAGAATTGGCAGACTTAAGACAACAAATACACAACATACTCAGAGCCTACTGAAGAGGAGCCCCAACAACCTCCTGGCTGGGCTTCAGGAGACCCTAAAGACCTAAGCCCCAGGAGTAATGATGACTCGGAAGTAGGCTAACTAATAGGATGAGAAAACGTGCTCTGGGTAATCTCAAGCTGTAGAATAAGGTGACTTGTGGTTCCCCGTCTCCTGACCTTCTTCAGAGGCAAATACTAGTTTGCTGTAGAAGGTCAAGCTGAGCTTCAATTTTATCTTTGTGAGCCCGCAAGATGGCTTAGTGGGTTAAGATGCTTGTCGCCAAGCCTAAGGAACTGAGTTTGATCCCCAGAATTTGCATGGTGGAAGGAGAGAAACAATCCCACAAGCTATCCTCTGACCTCCACGTACATGTCAATTTGTGTGCGTGTGTGTGTGCATGTGTGCATACACACACATACACAAACTAAATTTAAAGATGTATCTATATTGATCTATCTATAATCTCTCTATATATAAATACATATGCAGATACAGATATAGATATCTCTGAGATTTTCCAAATATGAAGACTGGACCTCAAATAGGATAATCAACATACTATGCGGTAAAGCAGTGGGGTTGAAAGAAGATGTTGAAACGGCATTGAGAAAGGGTAGTTATTAGATATATATCCTTCAGAGGAACTGTGATAAGTATATACAAAGAAATAAAAGACAAGATTGTTTCATATTCTAATCCTGAAATAGAACCATAAAAGTGGAAATATTTGAAATTCTAGAACTAGAATAATTCAAAACTTTCAAATTCAGTGTATAAAACTGAACGTAGATTAAGTATAAATAAAGAGAAAACTCATCGACAAGGACATGGGTCAAAGAAAAATGTCTGGAAAGGAACAGAGAACAGAAAAAAATCATATAAAAGACTTCATCTTTGAAGATGAAAGTTGTCCTGGGCTCCTTCACGCTCCATCAGCCATGTCTGTGGGTGAAGCATGAATCTGACCAATACTACATAACAGAGGTCCCTGCAAGAAAGACAAGAGAGTCTGGGGAAGAACTGGTATTTCTAGAGATGATGAACCAAGGATCTCAAAAGCTGGCTAAAGGCATATAATAGCATTTCAATGAGAAATCCTACCCTCCCCATAGGTTCACACTAAATGTTTGGTCCAGCTGTTGGCTCTGTTTGGAGAGCTGGTGGAAGGCTTTGGAGGTACCTAGAGGAGGTGGGACACCTGAGTAGGTCTTCCTCACCGTGTCACCCCCTCTGACTTTACCATAGCAGTAACTTGCAGAGTCGGGGATTCAGTCATAGTGTCCATGGCCTGCGTGTTTCCCATGCACTGGACTGTCTCCTATATGCCTAGAGTTGGCTAAAAACCTAGGATTTATTCCAGGTAGCTCCTGTTCTATGGGTTTAGTACAGTAACAAAACCTTGCTTTGGCTTTGGAATCCAAAAATACAGAGATAATCTGTGTAATCTATCTCACAGAGCTTCAGTGACTATCATATTGTAAGATGTATTTTGTAAAGTGTTGCATAACTGCTGATTTATTGGAGTAGAGCAGAGAGTCCCACCCACCCTCCCAACGTTGCCAGCAAGGGAAGGCAACACTGTCATTTACTTCCACTGAGGTACAATGCAACCAAAGAACTTGAACTCTGTCACACCTAGGGTTCAGACACCCAAAGACAAGGCTCATAGACGTGGAGAGGGGCCAGACTGAAAGAGGCTTGGTGACAACCTAATCTTCAAAGATGAGTTACCATGAAAGAGAAACGGTGCCATTTGGCACCGTGGTCTTGATCCAGTAATAGGAACCAATGCCACTGTTACTGATGATCTTAATCACTGTCCTATTGCTGTGGAGAAAGACATCATGGCGAAGGCAATTCTATGAAAGAAAACCTTTAAATTGGGGGCTGGCTTACAGTTTCAGAGGCTTAGTTCATTATCATCATGATGGGGAGCCTGGCAGCATGCATGGTGTACAGTAGTAGCTGAGAGATGCATCCTGGTCTGCAGGTGCACTTGCGCACACACACACACACACACACACACACACACACACACACACACCACACAGACACACACAGACACAGACACACACACACACACCACACACAGACACACACACACAGAGATAGAGAGAGAGAGAGAGAGAGAGAGAGAGAGAGAGAGAGAGAGAGAGAAGAAAAAAAGAGAGACAGAAACACTGGGCAGAGTGTGGGCTTTTGGAAACCACAAAGCCTCACACACTTCCTCAGTGACACACTTCCTCCAACAAGGCCATACCTCCTGACCCTTCTAATCCTATCAAAGAGTTCCACTCCCAGGTGACTAAGTGTTCAAATATATGAGCCTAAGAGGGTCATTCTAATTTAAACCACCACACCAATCCCAACTTCATCCTGCCACATGTGAGTGCGAAATATAAGTGGGGAAAGCTGGTTCACCGACTCTGAAGCACTGAGTCCGATCAGGTGTGAAGCTGAAGAGTGCAGCCCCGTCTTCACCATCAGTGGGGCACTGGCCCTGAAGCAAGGCAGGTTCGTGGATTTATGAGGATCACACCTTTGGGAATTCTCCAGGAAATTCCGCATAAGCCTGATGTATTTAAAAGAATAGATGGACCACAGAGACTGGATATTTTTCATTTCTAATTAAAAAAATCTCTCTCTCTCTCTCTCTCTCTCTCTCTCTCTGTGTGTGTGTGTGTGCGCGTGCGCGCCTGGGAAGGCTAAAAAAGGACGTTGGAGATCCTAAAGTCAGAGTTAGAGGTGCCTGTGAGATGGGTACTGGGAATTGAATTTGGGTCCTCTAGAAGAGCAGCAAGTGCTCTTAAACCACTAAGCCAGTTCTCCACCCTTCAACTCTAAATTTAATCACAGGCTACAGAAACAGGGCCATTCAAGCTATCATCATCATCATCATCATCATCATCATCTCTGTTTTATTGTGGGAAAACACTCACTTGAGCAAC